GGTACAAGCGTACAGACATGCCCGGTACAAGCGTACAGACATGCCCGGTACAAGCGTACAGACATGCCCGGTACAGGCGTACAGACATGCCCGGTACAGGCGTACAGACATGCCCGGTACAGGCGTACAGACATGCCCGGTACAGGCGTACAGACATGCCCGGTACAAGCGTACAGACATGCCCGGTACAAGCGTACAGACATGCCCGGTACAAGCGTACAGACATGTCTGGTTACTACGACACCTGTCCGCTCTACCGATGTTAATAGGTGAGATCGGTCGACAAATTCGCTTAATTTGTCGTATGTAGAAGAAGAAAATATCAAAGTGTTCAGTGAGGATCCACAAGGTCTTCTCTGAGTACTCTTTATTTTCTTCTCCGAGGCTATGGGTCCCTACACTTGCACCAGAGGTGGTACCCCTTCTAGGTAAAAAAAAAAAATAAAAAAAAAAAAATATATATATATACGTTTTCCGATTATTTTGATACTTTGAAGGACTTGTGAAAATGCGCTGGTTGGTTTTCTTCAGCTGGACCGGGATATGACGGGGAAGATCACCTGGCACACTCTTGCCCATCACACATTCAGCGAGTTTGTTTTCTGCACTTGAGAGCTTATTAAGGCCTCCGATGTTTTTTTAAAACAACGTTAGCTTGCACACAGAGCGAGAGAGCGAGGGAGATAGTGGGAGAGAAGGGATGGAGGGGGGGGGGAGAGAGAGGGGCAAGGGAGAGAGTGAGAGAGCCATACAGATGAGAAGGAAGGGGGGGGGAGGGGGAGAAATGGGAAAATAATGAAAGACCATCCAAGTGGTTGGGCACCATTCCTTTCCTCCCGTCCCATCCCAAATCCTTATCCTGACCCCTTCCCAGTGCTATATAGTCGTAATGGCTTGGCGCTTTCCCCCCTTCCCTGATAGTTTCCCTCCTTTTCATGTCGCTTCTCCCTCCTTGTATCTCTCTCTCTCTCCCCTTCCCCATTCTTTGTCTCCCTCCCTCCCTCCCCACTCTCCCTCTACGTAACTCACTCCTTCAATTAAGAATAATGGCAGCTGAACAGGATCGAGACATCCCAGTTTAGAGAGAGAGAGGAAAAAAAAGCGAAGATTCTCTCGAAAAAATTCAGAGGATTCCCCGCTGTGGGGGATCGAATATCACGGAACATAATCAGCAGAGATAATTATAAGACGGAGATCTGCGCAGTAATTAAAACTTTAATGAATTAATTGATAGGAATCATTAGGGCCGGTGGTGCATTTTTGAGCGAGCTTCACCTCTCATCCGAGAGGTGGAAAAAAAAATGTCGAAATTTTACCCCTCAAGAGATTTCACTTACCTGTTTTTTCCCAAATTGTTTCGTTTTTTTTTACGTTTTGGGTGATTTAAAAAAAATCATATATTCCTGATTGAACAAAAGGATTAACGACTTTTAACAAAATTAAAAACACAAAAAAATTAAATAAAAAAGACACCGTCTCCGTTGCGAATAATTGTGATATACTTGTTAAATAAGACTTTTTTTTTTTTAACTTGACGACCCTCCTTAAAAAAGTCGAGAAAGACCAATTCTTTGATATTACGTTTCTGGCGGACCAAAAGCGACCTTAGGCTTCCCCGGCATAAGAGTCACTCGCCTCCCCTCCTTGCGTCTCGTCACGACCTTCTTCTAACAGTTGCATTGTGATTAGCGAGTCAGAAAAAATGGGGTAACAGGAGGAGACATAGTTGAAGAAAAAACGGGCCAGATAATATGATTAATGACTGATGCGATGAGAAGAGTTGATTACACTCCCACAAAAATCAAAGTTTGCATAATTTCTTTGGCATTAGTTCCCTCCCCCCCCCCCCCCCCCCCCTCTGAAAAACAATTAAGTTTAAAGTTAGTTCTGTATTAGGTTCGTTTTCCCTTTTAATTATTATTATTTTTTTTTTCGTTAAACCTATATCTTCCTCAAGCTTTAAAAAAAATAAAATATTTGAAGGTGATTTTGTGAAGATGTCTGCTCCGAGTCTTCTTATTCTCTTGTGGCTATTAAATCAGATTAATTTCGGTGGATTCTAATCCCTATTGATTAATAGCGGCCCAGAAAAACTGTGAGGGATTATTGTAATTGGAAATTGGAGACATATAAAATTTATGCGATTTCCGAGGGCTGGGAGTGACCTGTCTATACACATCAATACATAGTTAAGATATTGATACTCCCTCCCCAAGACAGGGAGGGGCGCCCCCCCCCCAAGACAGGGAGGGGCCTCTTAAGATAGACAGGGTCCTCATAAAATAGGGAGGGCTCCCAAGACAAGGAGGGGTCCCCCAAGACAGGGAGGGGTCCCCCAAGACAGGGAGGGGGCCCCCCAAGACAGGGAGGGGTCCCCCAAGACAGGGAGGGGTCCCCCAAGACAGGGAGGGGTCCCCCAAGACAGGGAGGGGCCCCCCAAGACAGGGAGGGGCCCCCCAAGACAGGAAGGGGGCCCCCAAGACAGAGAGGGGGCCCCTTAAGATAGACAGGGTCCCACTAAAATAAGGAGGGCTCCCAAGACAGTGTGGAGCCCCAAGACAGGGAAGGGCCCCCAAGACAGGGAGGGGTCCCCCAACACTCACCAGCAGCCCTCAGCAGCTCCTTGGCGTTGGGTTCGTACTGGGAAAGTCGCTTCAGCTTCTCCGTCAGTTCCTCTTCCAGACGTCGTCGGGCCCGCTTCTCCTTCTTCAGCTTACGGAGGTAGAGTACTGTGAGCGGCGAGAGACAGAGGAGAGGGCATTAGTAGAGGAGACGAGGGGTAGAAGAGACAAAAGAAGGGGGCACTAACAGGTATATAAACTATCATTACAGCGAAGAAAAGGAAGTCACATTAACACCCAATGCAGTTGTGTGTAGAGGGTCCAAACGCAGCAGGTTTAAACCAGGACGGAAAGGTACGAAAGGCATATATATATCTCGGTCCGAATCCTGACGGACGGCCCTCATGGTGGGGGCTTGTTGCTATAAACCTTTTGACTAGGAGAGATGGACCGTGATCCTGTGAGAGACCTCGGGAGAGGTAAACATGTTATGGAGGGGGGGGGGGAAGAGGTGGGCCCCTCTCTTATCTTTTTTTCCCCCTTTTGTCTTCTAAGCTTTGCAACTTATTTTACATAATCTTCCAGTCTTCCATATGACTTGCCTTGTATACTGGCAAGCTGCCTCCTTGGGTTATTTCCTGTGGTGGCAGTCTTGCAGTCAAGGGGACATTGTGAGGCAGTCTTGCAGTCAAGGGTTTTTTGTGAGACAGTCTTGCAGTCAAGGGGACATTGTGAGGCAGTCTTGCAGTCAAGGGGACATTGTGAGGCAGTCTTGCAGTCAAGGGGACATTGTGAGGCAGTCTTGCAGTCAAGGGGACATTGTGAGGCAGTCTTGCAGTCAAGGGGGCATTGTGAGACAGTCTTGCAGTCAAGGGGACATTGTGAGGCAGTCTTGCAGTCAAGGGGACATTGTGAGGCAGTCTTGCAGTCAAGGGGACATTTGTGAGGCAGTCTTGCAGTCAAGGGGACATTGTGAGGCAGTCTTGCAGTCAAGGGGACATTGTGAGGCAGTCTTGCAGTCAAGGGGACATTGTGAGGCAGTCTTGCAGTCAAGGGGACATTGTGAGGCAGTCTTGCAGTCAAGGGGACATTTGTGAGGCAGTCTTGCAGTCAAGGGGACATTGTGAGGTAGTCTTGCAGTCAAGGAGACATTGTGAGGCAGTCTTGCAGTCAAGGGGACATTTGTGAGGCAGTCTTGCAGTCAAGGGGACATTGTGAGGTAGTCTTGCAGTCAAGGAGACATTGTGAGGCAGTCTTGCAGTCAAGGGGACATTGTGAGACAGTCTTGCAGTCAAGGGGACATTGTGAGGCAGTCTTGCAGTCAAGGGGACATTGTGAGACAGTCTTGCAGTCAAGGGGACATTGTGAGACAGTTAAGAACTGAAACTCATACTGGAACTGTCTAAAAAAATTGAAATAGTACTAATAAACATAGTAAAAATACAGGGGGCAACCAATAATTAATAAGACGCAAGACAAGGTAGAAGAACTTACACTTGACCTTCTCGTCCTCGACCAGTTGCTTCTCGAGTCGCTCCCTCATCTCCTTCTGTCGCTGGAACTCCAGCTGCAGGTGCTCTGGGGGGGGGGGGTCCAGGTAGGCAGGCATTATAAACACACAAGGAAAAAAGGAGAATCACTCCAATAGTCTCATTCATACAGCCGTGTTTGCTTCGACATCATTTTTTTGTTTTTCAGGTAATTTCTTTTTTCCTCCGGTGAAGTGGAGACTCGTGTTAGCATGTTTGATGATTCTGTTTTCATCAGTCATCAGGTCTGTTGTTGTTGCGGAGGTGTAGAGTCATGTGTTGAAGCAGGAGTCATGTGTGTATGTGTGTGTTTGTGTGTCTGTCTAAAGGTTGTTGGTCGACTCTTGTCTTTCGACTGCTTGTGTGTGTGTTTTTTCTTTATGTCCACTTGCAGTAAAGGGGACATTGTGAGGCAGTCTTGCAGTTGTAGTCCTGCCCTTCGTCGGCAGTGTGAGCTTGTTATTCGTCATCAGTGATATCTCCATTCTCGCTTAGTACACTCTCCTTCTCACTATCTATCTCCCATTCCTTCTCTCACTTTTCCTCCTATCTATCTTCCTCTCCCTCTCTTCTACACCCCCTGCTCTCTTTCCCCCCTCTCTTCTACACTTCCTTATCTCTCTTCCTCTCTTCTACACCCCCTCCTCTCTCTCCCCCTCTCTTCTACACTTCCCTATCTCTCTTCCTCTCTTCCTCTCTCTCTCTCTCTCTCTCTCTCTCTCTCTCTCTCTCTCTCTCCTCTCTCTCTCTCTCTCTCTCTCTCTCTCTCTCTCTCTCTCTCTCTGTCTCTTTCTTTCTCTCTCTCTCTCTCTCTCTCTCTCTCTCTCTCTCTCTCTCTCTCTCTCTCTCTCTCTCTCTCTCTCTCTCTCTCTCTCTCTCTCTCTCTCTCTCATCCTCCCCCCCCTCTCCTACTTTACCTCTCATCTACTTCCCCCTTCCCAAGTCTACCTCTCGACACACTTACCCTTCTCTCTTATCCACTGCTTCTCCTCGTGCCTGACGCTCTCTGCCGCCACCTTCAGCAGGTTCTGGATGTTGCCGAGGAGGTTCTCAAGGGAGGAGAGAGGTGGGTGGTGTGGGGTGGGCGGCGTTGCATCCGGCCCGCCCATACTTAAGCCGGCCAGCCCACTCAAACCTGCGCCCCACACAACACCCACGTTAAATCAGGCAAATAGAACATATCTATAATATTTAAAAAAAAATTGTGGCCTGTATGAATATAAAGGAGTTTGAGACTGATGTATAATTGTTATTAAAAAAAGGGCTTTTGTGAAAAAAGTTAAGTGTTATACAGCTGGGTTCTATAACAGAGGTTAAATACGTTTAGATTTAATGAATGATTAAATGCAACCCCCCCCCCCCCACACAGTTGTCAAAACTGCATCTGCCAGATTTTCGATTCATTTTAAAAGCCTATTTATTTCCCTATCTTGATGGTCAAAATCGATTTCCTGAATATTCTTATTTTATTTCTCGTTTAATTTTCGTATCGTCTGCAAATATTCCTGCTCAGTCCTGAATCCAAATATATATATAGACACAATAGAGCATCGAGACAAGCCACTAAGAACGGTTTTCCCCATTATGGCTTAACTCTATTTGTACGAACTTCTTATTTCCCTTCGATATAACCATGTTCTTATCCATCTTAAGACAGCACCAGCAGTACCCTGAGTCTTGGTCATTCGTGTGACCCTGTATCAGGAGCTTAGTTAAAGTCAATAATTCGGATTCACGAAGCAGTTACGCAAGAACTTACGAACGTGTACATCTTTCCTGAATCTTTGATTGCTTTTGTTATATTTATTAAACAGTTTACAAGCATGAAAACTTCCCAATCAACTGTTGTTATTGTTATAAACAGGCTCCTGGTGCTTCGGAGCTCATTAACGATTTAATAATTGTAAATAAAACCGCCAAAAATGTGTAGGTTCGGAAGTGCTTGCGTAACTGCTTCGTGAATCTGGCCCAAGGCACACTGCGTCTCAAACCTTTTCACTATCAACTGCCTCAAATATGCTGGAACAGAATGAAAGTAAATTGGTCAAACATTGAGCGGCTCTTAGACTAATACCATGTTGTGTATCATTTATTCATTTTTCAGACGAATGGCTTTTGGAGTTATTGATTCAAGTTATATTTTGTTTCCCCCCCACAATAGACATTAAGGTAAATGACCGATTGTTCGACGTAAAGGATCTATCTTCTTTCTTAAAAATTGGTGCCGACCTCACCATAACTCCGGCACTCTACCTCAGGCTAATGATTTATTGAGTATGCGAGACAAGAGCTCGCAAAGCTCTTCTTTGCATTCTTTAAGCACCCTGGCAAACACCTCGCCCACCCTTAGGGACTTGTTTGGCTTTAATTTTTCTATTTGTTGACTAACTTCTTCCTTCCTGGTAACCACTAGATTTTAGATTTAGATTTAGATTTTTAGATTTAGATTTTTAGATTTAGATTTTTAGATTTAGATTTAGATTTTTAGATTTAGATTTTTAGATTTAGATTTTAGATTTAGATTTTAGATTTAGATTTTAGATTTTAGATTTTAGATTTAGATTTTAGATTTAGATTTTAGATTTAGATTTTAGATTTAGATTTTAGATTTAGATTTTAGATTTTAGATTTAGATTTTAGATTTAGATTTTAGATTTAGATTTTAGATTTAGATTTTAGATTTAGATTTTAGATTTAGATTTTAGATTTAGATTTTAGATTTAGATTTAGATTTTAGATTTCGATTTTAGATTTCGATTTTAGATTTAGATTTTAGATTTAGATTTCAGGTTTAGATGTTAGATTTTAGATTTAGATTTTAGATTTAGATTTTAGATTTAGATTTTAGATTTAGATTTAGATTTAGATTTTAGATTTAGATTTAGATTTTAGATTTAGATTTTAGATTTTTTATTCAGGTAAAGGTACATACATTGAGTTGCATACATAATGTTGGATTTAAAGATATTGTACATACAATACCTAAAGCCACTAGTACACATAGCGTTTCGGGCAAACCGTGAGTAAAGTTGTAGTGATTAGAGTTGACTTAACTAGTCAACCTGTCCTCTTCACAATCAATGTCTTCTTCGGGCGGAGGCATAATTATTAAGCTCTTTAGTATATACAGAGACAAAACATTTATTTAAAATATTATTACTTTCTTTGTCATATTCAGTTATCTAAGTCTCAGTTTTTAATGCCCCTTTTCCCTAATTTTTGTTTCATTTAACACAAAACAAACTTTAGATTTGGCTTTAGCTGGTTGCTAACGAACTTTATTGTTTTTTTGTACTGTCTTTTTTTCTTTAAATTTCAATCTAGTTTGATAAATTGTTGTTCTAGATTGACTCCCCAATTCTTAATCATTTTATGTGCAGTTTTATTTTTACATATACGGTTTTTTAGACCAATGATTTATATCCATGTGAAGTCATTATTATTCGATTTATTAAATTAATAAGATACACAACGTTCTTGAGCTTTGCTAAGAATATTTTCTATGAAGGTGAAGGAAACACCTAATATATGAACAATAAGTGTATTAAAACCCTAATTTTGGGATGTAACCTAAATTCTTTCTCAAGGTGCTGTATACAATGTTCTCAAGAAGATTCCAGGAGTGTGTCTTCATGGGTTGTTCAATTATCCTGATTTCTGGGAACTGTGGGCAGTCATTATTCCCATTCTAAACACCACAATATATAAAGATATATATATATATATACAATGTAGATACATTGTGAATCTACGTCGCAATCCTTATTATTTCACTAATCGCTACGTTCACATCGTATTCCATGACCAGCAAATCTCCCCCATGGTTATGTCTGTCCACTCTATCCTTCCCCAAAGACATTTCTTTATTTATTTTATTATTATTATTTTTCTTATTTATATATATACAAGAAGGTACATTGGGATTGTGAGGATACATAGGATAGTAATTACAATCTTGTAAAGCCACTAGTACGCGCAGCATTTCGGGCAGAAACATCCAATTTCTTAGTCCAATTAAATCAGCTTTTAGGAAATCTGGCACCTAAACAGAATTTTGCTATTACCCATCTATTCCATTCCATGATGTCTGATATCCTTGTGATCGCTCTTTCCCTCACTCCCTATTTCGATGTCACTTGTGCCTCCCTGTGTGTCTAAAATATTATTTTTCCATGTTTGGTCCTAAATATGTTAGTTAAAAGAAACAATTATCAACTATTTTTTTTACAAATCTGCGTTGGTACTCGTTGCTTTGTTAACACAATTTAACGTTAAATGTTAAAGTCACCCCATAAGACATTGTTTGGTCTAGATGGTCTATCATAGTCCACCACATTACTGCTTTGCCTTTACTTTGGACTTTACTCATAGCCCAACACATTACTTCCATTCTGTCGAAGTTCAGTGGCCTGTATATAACTCCTCCAATTAGATTATTATTTTCATTTGATTCTAACCATATACCTTTTGTGTGTTCCACAGACACCCACCTGGAGGTAAGCGGTCGTCGGCGACGGGCAGGAGGGCGGAGCTCTGCGAGGTGGTGGGCGTGGGGACACTGCTGCTGCTACTGCTGCTGCTGCTGATAGTGCCGGAGAGCAGGGTGCTCATGCCCGCCCCCAGCCCGCCCACGCCCCCGCCTGAACTGCTGTTGTTGTTGGTGGTGGAGGTGAGGTTGTTGTTGTTGTAGTGTAGGGAGGGGCGATCTGGGTAGTCGAAGTCGTCCCTGTCGCTCAGGTCTGTCGGGAGAAGACCAGCTCAGGGATTAGGGACACCAGTCAGGGATTAGGAACACCAGTCAGGGATTAGGGACACCAGTCAGTGATTAGAAACACCAGTCAGGAATTAGGGACACCAGTCATGGATTTGGGACACCAGTCTGGGATTAGGGACACCAGTCAGGGATTAGGGACACCGGTCAGGGATTAGGGACACCGGTCAGGGATTAGGGACACCAGTCAGGGATTAGGAACACCAGTCAGGGATTAGGGACACCAGTCTGGGATTAGAAACACCAGTCAGGAATTAGGGACACCAGTCATGGATTAGGGACACCGGTCTGGGATTAAGGACACCAGTCTGGGATTAGGGACACCAGTCAGGGATTAGGGACACCGGTCAGGGATTAGGGACACCGGTCAGGGATTAGGGACACCAGTCAGGGATTAGGAACACCAGTCAGGGATTAGAAACACCAGTCAAGGGAAGCAGGGAAGTTAAGGGGCAGTTAAGGGAAGGGGGAGATTTCAGCAGGGTGGACCTACAGGGGGGGGGGGTAAACAAGATGGGTGAAGTGTGGGGAGCCAATAGTAGGGGGTCAGGGTGGTTAATGGGGGGGGTTCAGGTGAGTGGGGGGGGTCCTTTTGGGAAGGGGGGTGGAGAGTGAAGAGAATGAAGGCACAGGAGAATGGAAAATAGTTGTGTAGGGAGGGGAAGAAGTGAGAGATCCATATTGAGGCAAGGGAAGGGAATTATCAGGGAAAGCGCCAAGCCATTGCGACTATATAGCACTGGGATGGGACGGGGGGAAGGAATGGTGCCCAACCACTTGGACGGTCGGGGATTGAACGCCGACCTGCATGAAGCGAGACCGTCGCTCTACCGTTCAGCCCAAGTGGTTGGGTAACATATTGAGGCAAGCCAGAAGGTGAAAACCAATGTAAGGTCAGGATGGAGTCAGACCAACATGGAGGGTCTAGGGGGGGGGGGAGCGGTAGAAGACCTGTGGGGTCAGAAAGGAGGCAGAGGATGACTCCCCCCTTTCTTGACTACACCAGAAGGGGATAAGTGAGGATAGATGGGTGGCTCCTAGAAGGAAACATTCTTGTGTCTTAAAGAATACAGATCAAGAAGTTCAGTACACCCAGACTGCACACACAGAGAAAGCATCTCTGAGTGGACTTAAGACACCACAAGACCAGGAGGAGATTCATCAATACATACACTATAAACACGACTTACTCCTGGAGATGATTAATTGCTAATGATGAGAATTAACTTGATGCATGAGTCGTTGTAAGTATGTATTATGGAACCCGGGTCCAGGAGCTGCAGCCCAACCTGTTTGTTTTGACTAACGCATGTGAATGGCACTGTTCTCCTGTATCTTAGGCTTGCTTCTGATTCTCGGCCTCTTGATTGGTTCTGGGGGAAATCAGGAGTACTCAACGTGAGCCTGATAGCTCTCTCTCATTGGTCCACTTGGTATCACTAAAGGCATAAACAAATAATACTTCCCCATTTTCCTTGGTTTGACCATACATACTCGACCTCAAGTCGACCAGGTGTGACTCGACCGAAGAAAAGGTCGAATTGGTCTATTGGAGGCACAGCGCCTCCAACTAGCATCAGGTACGACTAGAATTAAGTCTTTCCATGGGTTTTAATTGTTTAATAGGGCCCCCGTTACAATTGATAGGCCTTAAGTGCTTCTCATTAAGGAGGTCTACTGACATAAAGTTTACCCACCTATATGGATCAATTGCCTTGAGATGGGTCAGTTATGCAGGTGCAATCATTTGCATATGTTAGATGATGTTGGAAGATCGAATTCTATCACACTAAACAGCGAACAATGTCCACTCCTGAATGCGCAAGCCAACTTGTGAGTGTGTATATATATAAGGAAAGGTAACTCGCGCACTTTTCCTAACACACTTGGCTATGAATCTACACTCTTGTTACGAATACTCGTTCGTTATTTACTTAGCATAAAACCTATTATTCACGAATTAAGCTGTTGACAAAAAAAAATCAATTTGTCAGCCGCTTCTGTTGATCGATTGATCAACATGGGATGGGATGAGCAGCATCCCTCATCTTGCTTCCTCCCTCACCTGCATTAATGCATCTTGCAAGAGGTTCTCCAACGCCTCACACATCATGACAGATCTATTTACCTCGGATCAAAGCAGAGGGCAAATGTTTTCCCCCCGTGTGTTCGTCAGGCTAATGAATTTCGCGGTAAATGTTTCTCAAGTGTTCAGTTCCTGATCACTCGGTGTAGTAAATGGCTCTGGAGAAACGATTGGGCACGTGGCTGAGGTGATGAAGGTCTAGACCCGTCGTATCATGTCATTATTCATCGTTTCATCACGTTATTGTGATATTTATTGTACATGTTATTCATTATATAATATGTAGAAAGAGTTACATTAGCGTTATCTTCATTATATAACATCCAAAGCTGGTTTCTGAAAGAGTAGGCCTGTAGGCTTTCCATACAAAATTAAAATTCTAATGTGCTGAACAGATAATGAAAATAAAATTATCAAGGGAAAAAAGGCTTCAATATATGGAAAGGAACATAGAAGGGCTTCACAACATGGAAAGGAGAACATGACAAACTACATCCCTTCCATGTGGCTACCTACCTACCTTGAGGCTACCTTGTGGTGCTTCCGGGGCTTAGTGTCCCCGCGGCCCGGTCGTCGACCAGGCCTCCTGGTTGCTGGACTGATCAACCAGGCTGTTAGACGCGGCTGCTCGCAGCCTGACGTATGAGTCACAGCCTGGTTGATCAGGTATCCTTTGGAGGTGCTTATCCAGTTCTCTCTTGAACACTGAGAGGGGTTTGCCAGTTATGCCCCTTATGTGTAGTGGCATATGAAGTCACAAACTTTCTCCTTACCCATGAGTAGAATGGATGAATTACAATGAACATTATAAATGAGTTTTAACATATTTTCAATTGGAGGGCGGAAAAAAACAATGAAAGGTACCAAAGACAGAGTCGTTCGCTCACCATTCTTGTCGTCGAGGTCGTCGGCGTCGGAGAGGCCGTCATCCTTGTCGTCGCGGTCGTCGCGCGGCGTCGGGGCGTCGCTCAGGTCGTCCCGCGAGTCGCTCTTACTGCTAAGGTTGAGGGCGTCGCCCTCCCCGTACCCTGCAGGATGGGTATGTGTGCTGTCAAGCCACACTGGTGAATGCTGCATGTATAGATGGTGCTTCTCTGCCGGAGGGATGGATGGGGGGGAGGGAAGGTTATAGCCACTAGGGTGATATATGCTGGTGGCTTGTGTGGGTGTGGGGGGGTGTGGGTATGGGGGTGTGGATGTGTGGGGGGGTGTGTGTGCGTGTGGGGGTGTGTGCGTGTGTGGGGTGGGGGTGTGTGCGTGTGGGTGTGGGGGTGTGTGTGTGGGGTTGTGGGGGGTGTGGGTATGGGTGTGTGTGGGTGTGGGGGGGTGTGGGTGTAGGGGTGGGTGTGTGTGTGTGGGTGTGGGGAGTCGTGTCTTAACACCTGTTTGTGTGATGAAGGTCTGTCTTGGCCCACCTGTGTGTGTGGTGGGGGTGTGTGGGTGTGGTGTGTGTGGGAGTGTGGGTGTGTATGTGTGGGGTGTGGGGGGGTGTGGGTGTGTGTGGGTATGGGTGTGTGTAGGTATGTGGAGTCATGTCTTAACACCTGTTTGTGTGATGAAGGTCTATCTTGGCCCACCTGAATGTGTGTGGTATTGATCAGTCTTGGCCCACCTGTCTGTGTATAGTTGAGGCTTCACGGGCCAAGTCTTCATATGTAGTAACCCCATTAATGGGGTTCGAACGGGTGTGTTACAGTGCAACTTGTTTCGTGCACTGTATGGCTATGTAACGAGATGATCTAAGAGGTACAAGTCTACATTTCGTACATGCGAATATTCGCCATGGAGTAAGGTACAAGAATCATGATACATATTGGGCAAAATAATATTGATGATAATACATGAAATTAACACCCAGCGGATGAAATGGGCGTGATGAAGGGGCAAGGGGCGTGGTGAAGGGGCAAGGAACGTGGTGAAGGGGCAAGGGGCGTGGTGAAGGGGCAAGGGGCGTGGTGAAGGGGCAAGGAACGTGGTGAAGGGGCAAGGAACGTGGTGAAGGGGCAAGGGGCGTGGTGAAGGGGCAAGGAACGTGGTGAAGGGGCAAGGGGCGTGGTGAAGGGGCAAGGAACGTGGTGAAGGGGCAAGGGGCGTGTATAGAAGCAAGAGTAACTACCTAGCTTCGTCCCAACATACTTAATTCCCGAGTTAATTCCTGTCCTGCACCTGGGGGCGTCTCATCTTGAATCTTATGCTTCAAGTAATGAAATGAAGAAGGATTTCCTAATTGTTCTTCGTCATTACTGATGATTCAACTGTGCCAAACTGCATTGTTCAACTCAAATCCGAGATTTCACAATCCCCCCCCCCACCCACTAGCCTAATATTTGAAGGCTGGTGCCAGCAGCAACAGCTTTGTGGAACAGGGGTTTCAATAAGGTTATTTAATGTGTGCTATTATCTCTTGACTCAAACTTGTGTACTGAACAATGTGTATGTGTTAATCTAGAGCTTAATTTTGAGTGACGTGAGTGGCTCTCAAGAGGAATGCGTGACGTGAGTGGCCCTCAAGAGGGATGAGTGACATGAGTGGCCCTCAAGAGGGATGAGTGACGTGAGTGGCCCTCAAGAGGGATGAGTGACGTGAGTGGCCTTCAAGAGGGATGAGTGACGTGAGGGGCCCTCAAGAGGGATGAGTGACGTGAGTGGCCCTCAAAAAGGGATGAGTGACGTGAGTGGCCCTCAAGAGGGATGAGTGACATGAGTGGCCCTCAAAAAGGGATGAGTGACGTGAGTGGCCCTCAAAAAGGGATGAGTGACGTGAGTGGCCCTTAAAAAGGGATGAGTGACGCGAGTAACAACTCACCGTTGGTCTTGTGTGGAGAGATGGGACGGTCTGGGGCCTCGTCCCTCTCTAGTCCCAGCACGCGGTCGGCCCGGTTCCTATCCTCCCGTATCCTGCCGGATTGAACAACATCATGCGTGAATACAAGCAGTTCTTTTTGACAGTTAGAGAGGAGAGAGACAGTCAGTTTACAACAACCAGTCAAAAAATGCAGCTTTTGGACAGTCAGAAGTAGTTTGGCTTACATTGGCCCCCCCCCCCCCCCACCTCCCCCCCCCCAACACAGGCTGAGACCCCGCCATTACGGAGGAGATCACGGGTTAATGACCATTAAGGCAATCAGCTAGACCAAGCAGTCGACAAAGGAAAAAAAAAAACATCATTTCGCTCACCTTGTTTCTGTTGTTTAATTTATAATGTTACATTCCCACTGTCAGCGATTGATATATTTCCATTTTCAGTCACTAAATTCCTATTTTCAATTAATCAATTTCCATTTTCAGCCACTAAATTCCTATTTTCAATTAATCAATTTCCATTTTCAGTCATTAAATTCCTATTTTCAATTAATCAATTTCCATTTTCAGCCACTAAATTCCTATTTTCAATTAATCAATTTCCATTTTCAGCCACTAAATTCCTATTTTCAATTAATCAATTTCCAGTCACTAAATTCCTTTTTTTCAATTAATCAATTACTATTTTCGTTTACACCAGATCTAAATACCAGCTCGTGAGGATTAATTGACGTGGGTTAATTCACGAGGATCAACTTACGTGGATTAGTTATGAGGATTAATTTACGAGGACTACGCTACACTCTCCGAGGACTGTCTCGGAGAGGCTGCCGGATCCACGTAAATTCAGTAGAATTTCTGGTTGCAATTCTTTTTTACCATGTCGTAGCTCAGTCGATTAAGGCAGCGTCTGGGATGCTCTCGGACGCAGGTTCGAATCCTCGTCACGGCCCTTGTGGATTTGTTTACAAGGACTAATTCGTGAGGATTAAATTTTGGAAAGCGCTTGGTGTGTTACGAGTTCCACACGAGAACCATCAATATGCCACACTCACACTTCTTGAGGTTATCTTGAGATGATTTCGGGGCTTTTTTTTTTTAGTGTCCCCGCGGCCCGGTCCTTGACCAGGCCTCCACCCCAGGAAGCAGCCCGTGACAGCTGACTAACACCCAGGTACCTATTTTACTGCTAGGTAACAGGGACATAGTGTGAAAGAAACTCTGCCCATGTTTCTCGCCGGCGCCTGGGATTGAACCCAGGACCACAGGATCACAAGTCCAGTTTGCTGTCCGCTCGGCCGACCGGCTCCC